GTTTGGCGAAAAATGTATGACAATAGACTTTATGATGTCCACGGGGGGTTTTCATCGAGAGGAGGTTGATGATGGCTCAGGAACAAATATGAGTATCAAATTACATTTAACATAATCACTTGTACAGATTCCCGGATAAGATAATCTTGGCGATTACAGTGAGGAACAAGAAGAAAGGTTCTATCAAGACATTAGAATAATAAAAATAAGATACCAAGCCCGGTGGGAAAGCCATATGATGACAGACTATTCCTGGAGTTCATACAGGAATTGTCCTGAACATAAACAAAATAGAAAAGTCTACAGATATTTTTTTTATGATTTGTGTTAATAGTACACATTGTATTTTAATGTTTTTTATCGTTGTTATATTGCCGCATCTACAAATATTAATTTTGATATGCGATGCAACGATCGCTTGCATTCATTCTCAAAACGATCTACAGTAACGCAGTGAATGTTTTTTGTAGATCTATGAATGTATAATTTCTTTAAATATAACAAAAAAGAAAAAAACATGAAGGTGCCATGACGATGGGGTGCGTGAGCATTGACAAAATTAGTAGGTATCTGGACTAATTACTAACAACGGCAACATTTAAAGTTACGACGTTTAATGGGGGCAATCAGGCATGAGTTGTGTTCAACGAGCATGAATGTGAACATTTCCTTTGGCCGGGTAAATTGCGTATAATGAGCGAGGGCGGCGAGGGGCGCTGCCAGGGTCACAGCACAGGTGCGGCGCGTATGCTCTCTCCTAATGCCCGTGTGTCTGACAGTAGCCGGAGCGTCCGTGGCACTTAACGCACCATTCCGCACCAGACATACAACAAGGCTTCAGATGTCTCAAATGACGACAATTCGTTAGATATGTAGATATAAATATGTATGTTTGATAAAGACATATAGTCAGTTTTCAAGTGTTCTCAAATAATGTCCTTTGAGTACATCAATCAATTTTATTATTTTATAAATTGATTACAACTTCTAAAAATGTCTTTTCATCGATAGACGTTCCCCGTGATGCGAGTGGTATGATCGCTGGTTTTCTGGGTGTCCCCTACTAAGATGTCCAGGGTTCGAATACCAAATGTTTGGATGATTAATAAGAGCATTTGTGACTAAGTCATGACTGTTTATATATACATATATATATATATATATATAATCTATAAAAATATAATATTTATATCCTTTACCTAATACCTAGCATCCCATAACATAAGCCTTAGTATGCTTACTTTGTGGCTAGGCTTATTAGTTGAGTGTTAGATTTTTTATTTATTTTGTTATGTTTTATTTATTTATTTATTTTTATTTATGTTATTCTTCAGGGGTTCTAAAACATCGACATTTGTTTGATGATGATGCCGATATATCTAACATAATGTCTTTTCATTTACCTAGCGGTCTGTTTTACGTATTTCAATACAAAACTGAATTAGGTGATTCAGGACTTTCGTATGTGTTCACTTTATGTTTTATAATTATTGTAATTTTTAGGTTTGAAAATGAAAAATATAATGAACAATGAATGATACGTGTAATTTCGTGATTTGAGATCTCCTGTTGTCTTTTAAGAAATTTCCTGAAATTGGGATTGTTATTGCAACAATCCAAATTTAAACCAGTTTCTAATTTTTAAACAGTTTCGGCTCTCATTCACGTAACTTCTGTGCGCTTTGTTAACTGCACCAGTTACTATTGTTACTCAGGCTTTCGGGTTGGATTCACCTCTACATTTAGATAGTAATCCCTGCAAAAGTTAAATCATCCTCATCATAATCAACCGATGGACGTCCACTGCTGGCCAGAGACCTCCTCTATGGATCTCCAAACACAACAATCCTGAGCTTTCCGCATCCAGTGGGTCCCCCGACTCGCTTGATGTCGTAGTTAAGTTACAGAGTTAACCTTCTGGAATATAATTTGCTGTGTGTATATTCTACACGACAGTCGATGGTGCCTAATTGCATTTAATTTCACTAGCGTGTAGGACACGGAAAGGTCCACCCTTATTTTTTAAAATTGGACGCGTTGAACCTTGTCAATATATCATATCAAATTCAATTTATTGCAATGTAATACAGACATGCTTAAGAAAAAAAAATACACAAAGTGAATATTAATAAACATATCTACCTACAAATATACCTACCAAAATGAATATAAAGTAGGCAATTCCATCATTATTAATTGATGAGTCAACTTATAAATAGATTGAATTACTTTACAATTTAGTCTAAGAATAGTGTTTAAGACATTAGGGAAACCTTATGACACTTTTGAATTAACTGATAGTAGGTAATTCCCCTAGTGATTCTATCTTCGGGGAAGGCCTTTTCCGCAGTAGTTGACACATTAATAGACTGATGACGATAGTATTCATGTTCGGTATTGATCTAGCGTTTTTCTACAAATTCTCCTACACCTACACACATTTGGATGAAATTATATCTAAAGTTATTATTCTTGTAAAAAGTATTTTCCCCAAGCTTTATATTTCGAACTCCATAGAAACAAGTGGGCTTGAACTATATCTTTATTTTTATGATGTTGGCAATTAAAAGTTAGGCTAGGGTTACCTAAATCCTAATAAGATGAGAGCAATAACCCGAATCATATTGATTATATGTATTTTCATTTCTCTTAGTCCAACTTAAAAATAAGATTAATAGCAGAGTAATATTGTGATGTCATAGTATATAATCAATCGTTTGATTTTCAAAAATGTCCAATAAGTTTACATTATAAACTAATTGTATATGATGAGAAATTCTCAAATCATCATAATTCAAAATGAATTCACACTTCGATATTTAGATGTGCCATATAAATGTGGTAGTGCCTTGCGGCCGCCGGAGACTTCACCCGAGTTCAAATCTTTTAATTTTTCGAGTTAATATTAATATTATGGGTTATGACTTATGACACTCACAAATAATGTTGCTTTCTATTGCTAAAATAATTTTCAAAATCAGTTCAGTAGATCCAGATATATATATATATATATATTTAACAATTTAATTGATAGATGTTTAATTTTTTAGTGCGCCTGCTTGGATAACGTTACATGTGGGTTCAAATCCCGTCTGAATCGTGGACCAAGTCAAATTATTTCGAGTAAAATTTTTCTTAGATTTAAAAATCCAGAGATACGCCCTATAACCCCAAAAACTAACACCTCACCTCTTTATACTATCAGTATAGATCAGTTATGCGTGTTTTTTTTAATATTAAAAGAAGATTCTGACTCATCGACTATATTAGTGTTACTTATTAATATTTCAATATTATCAAAATCAATAAACGAAGTAGGAACTGCGTCGATGTCTTTTACATTACTTTTAGAAATTACCTACTGTGATTTTACGAATGTGCTTCAATAAAATTAATTATTTTTTGGCATTGCCACTGTTTATCTACGGATTTCATTTCGATATAACATGATTAGTGGTTAGTGGGATAAATACTAAAAAACTTTCCTTTATTTCGATTCTCGTTACCCTTTTCGGGCAAATTATGTTTATTAAAGAAGATATGGTAGTTTTGATAAAAAAAAAACGATCGTACGTATTGTATATAACGTTTAAATTTATTTACATTACTATCACAATGATTTTTACAGTTATAAAGTATAGGTCACATAATATAAACTTAAAATTAAATAACACATCTGAGGGATGGAAACAAGAACATGTTTATCTTCCAATGTTAAATACTTAAGCAATTTACAAATAACGGTAATAGATAATTCAGAAGCTTTATAATTATAATATTTATCGATGAAAACATGAATACGATTATAAAAATAGTAAGTGTGTTTTTATTACATAATTAAACTGATTTTTGTGATTTTAAGTGATCAAATAGTTTTTATACAAAGCTACAAAAGACAAATCAAATTGCAACCAAAAAAAAGTTTGATTATCCCGTGATATTTGTTTGTCGTGTCATACTTTAATTACTAACTGGTTTAATTAAGTTGTTATTATATATCACTTTACTAAATTTTTATGCAATTCAATAATTATGATCAAATTATAGTTTTTAAAGTTAAGCAACAAAAAATAATGTGTACCTAATTGAAAGATGCTTACTTTTTTGTTTAAACATATGAGATTCTCCTTACACTAGCATGGCGACTACAACTTCTTGTGTTAATTTTAAGAAACATATTAGTAATATGACTATTATTAACTTAATTATACACAGGTAGATAGATACATAAGATAAAATAAGGTTACCTTTTTGGCGAGCAAGTCATTGGCATGAGCTGGGTGTAACTAATGTTTTGTTTTATCTACTTTTGTAACAACAAAAAAGGTTTTGGGTTTTACTGCGTTGATATTAGTTGATCCTTGTTTATCATGATCTTATGTACAATCTACTAAACATTATCATATATATAACCTGCATGGCTTTTAAGTATTTAATAAAATAATATTTTGGGTTATCGGAATTCTAAACGCGGTAATTTAAAGAAGTAACTCGATCCAATTTGTGTAATTATTAGAAAAACATAATAAAATCTGGTGCGGTATTGAATCGAAAAAGGCAGTAAATTATGGATCTACTCATCAAAGACACGGAAGAGCACATAGTGTCTTAAAATTATTTTTGGTAATCATGAATTCAATAATACTTACGAATATAAGTGTATTTGAAAAATCTTGGGATGTAATTTTTTTTTTAAAGAACATTCTCATGTATGACTTTTTCATTTAAATTACTGATTCTGAAATGACTAGATTGTTAATCTTATTTATTTTCTTAAGTAAATTCATATTCGTGAGTATGTTTTATAATTTATTTACAGAACGATTAACCTTGGCTTCAATTGAAATTATATTGATAATATTGTAAAATAATGGACAGATATTTTAGACTATACGTACCCTTCTGGTCCATAGTGAATCGCTTGAACAGTGTATTTCTTTTTATTTTTGAACTCAGCATCTGTAATTTTATCAACTAATATTTTTAAAGAGCACGAAGTCTTAGGAGATGAGAGCGCCCTGTGAATGAGGTTTTATATGAACAGGGTGAGCTGGGTGCGGGTGGGGAGCATGCGCAGCGTGTGAAGGCCGGCCTTGATGGCACCGCTGCGCGTGTGCGTGCGAATGAGCGCGCAGCTCGTCGCCATGCTCACGGTATGCGCGCTGCTTATCCTCGAAGTCGCGTAGCCTCTGGTTGTAGCGTTCTATCTGTTCGCGCAACGCAGCGTCTTCAATAGCAGCGCGTTCTTCATCCAGCTCCAGACATCCGGCACCGTCCAGTCGCTCCAGATCGATCCAACCCCGCCATCGGACGCACACGCCGTTCATAATGAAGCGGGATACAATATGAGCCTGGTGACAAACAAAAAACTTATTGACACGATGTCCATTTTAGTTCGATTGATGGATATAGGTACTATACATATGGCTAGTTATAAAAACACGAGAATATATGGCGCACAAATAGTCCTAACTTCCAGTAAACCATTAATTATCCCCGGAAGTCTTTGGCTTGCTCCTTTGAAATATAGGAAAAAAGTTAAGACAAAAAAATTAAGCACCGTAGGTGGCAGGGATAAAGTAGAGTGGTCGACTTTTTTTTACGGTGACATGGTTTAGCAAAGTCAAAATCAAGACCATGACCATTTACCATGGAAACAAAAAAAAGAATTGGATAGAATATTTTGGGAAGTAAGATTATATGAGCCTCACTTTTGAAAGTAAAAAAGTGGCAAGGGCGCGCGACAGAAGGTAGGCGGCAGGGATCGCGTGCTGACGCTGGCTTTGTTCAGACATCCGCTTCAAACAAACCTTTAATTGTGGCAGACACTCGTCAAGGATGCAATTTTACTAATAATAACCTGCATCGCTTTTAAATTCATTTAAAAAGGAACAATCGGTTGTTGTATGGTTCCAACAGATTTCATACTAGTCTCAGCAGAATTTGAAAAAGCCTTTTTTAGTAAGATAATAACTTGAATATATATTTTTTGTTTACGAAAAAAACTCATAAAAATCGTCAATTATCATAATTTTAATTTTTAATAAGCGCGAAACGTATTATGCGTGACGAACATACCTACTAGAAAAGTGTTAAGATAATGTTATCCAATGATACTTTAGAAATCCCCTTCTGCGATCTGCGTCTGATAAAAAAGATAGTTTTTTATATAACAATAATAAAAACATTATTTTCTCTCCACAATCTTATACATGCTTCATAAGTAACAGATTTTTAAACTTAGGACTTAGATTGTAATAGACTGGTGACCAAACTAAGCTGACGCCTGTGTCTCAGTGCTCCAGCCTCTCATCGTTATAAGAAAGTGTTACATAAACAAAATATACCTAAGTATAGACATAATTGACAGGGGGCTACCGAGGGTGGTAGAGCCGACGGCCATGATTATCTGGGCGGGGCGCTGTAGCGATGGTCCCCCAATAGAAAACCCGCTTTCCCTTTTATCGATTGAGGAAAATGCTTTAACACCCTAGCTAACACCCGCATCTCTTGCCGTAAGTTCGTATTGAATAACGCAAAGTGTATTGGGACTAATAAATCAAATTTTCCATTTATAGTTAGGTATTCATTCGGGTTCATTGTAAACATCTTATTAACCTATGTCCCCACTGCCAGAACGGACTATTTTATTTGAAATTAACTTAAATTATTTACTATTTTTCATTGTAGATAAGTATATACCATAAACTTATATATTTTTGAATTTTTCGGGCAAAATTGTGTCAATAATATCTCGATCTTCCGTTTCTATTCAGAGTCTAGTGACTCTCATCACTGGTCATTTTTCTCAGTTTTATTTTAAAAAATCCTAGTTTATTTTGTAATCAGAGTAACATGTGCCAAATCCCGTCGGAAACGTGGACCGAGTGCATTTTTTCTAGTAAAATTTTTCGTAAGATTAAAATGTCCAGTAGATATATGCTTTAAAAATAAAAAAGGTACCTAGTAAATAAAAACTAGTCTTCCCAGTGTTAAGAACCTGGGTTTACTTATCGATGCTTCTCTCAGCTGGGAAGAACATGTTAATGTGTTTAGTCGCAAGGTAATTAACACACTTCGAGCACTATATCGCCTAAAACACTTTCTCTCTTCCAGTACCAAAGTCGCTCTCGTTCAGGCTCTTATTATTCCCATCCTCAACTACGCTGACATCTGCTATTCTGACATCAATCAAATCCTTCTTATCAAATTGGATCGTTTGCTCAACAGCGGTATTCGCTTCGTCTTTGGGTTACGTAAATACGACCACATCTCTTCTTTTAGAATACAACTAAACTGGTTGCCTATTAGTGACCGAAGAAACCTTAGATTACTTTGCATGCTTTTCAACCTTTTATACGATCCACGTGCTCCAGAGTACCTGAAATCTAGATTTCAATTTCTGGGCACTTCCAACCGTCGTGTTCTTCGCTCGTGCAGAAATATTACTCTACAAATCCCCATTCATCATTCTGGCTTTGGATCCAAATCTTTCACTGTTACTCCCATACGCCTGTGGAATGCTCTACCACTCAACATTCGTAGCTCTAACAATAAGATGGAGTTCAAAAAACTAGTGCGTGAACACTTCCTGACCTGACTACGCAATCTCTTCTTTCTTGTTATTATTTATAGTTTGTATCTATTTATATATTATATTTATTGTATTTTATGTATGTATATATTTATTTATGTATTTTATTTGTGTAGTTTATGTAGGTGTATCAAATTTAGTATAAATTATTAATATATTTTAATCACTGTTATTTTCTAAATGTTTTATTATAAAGCATTTTGCCCTATCGCCATACCATTTGTTTCTAACACTCGTTCAGGTTGACTGGTAGAGAATGCCTATGACATTAAGTCCGCCGTTTGCATATGTATGGCAATGAAGTTTAAATAAATAAATAAAAACAATTTAATAATTCTCGGTCAAAATCACGGATCCACCCACAGCTTTCTTGAACGGATCGAAAATCAACGTTTTTTTTCTTTAGATATTTAGTTCCATAGGTAAAGGAAAGTTAATAGATAAACAAACATATAGGCAAGTGTTTTTTTCAGTATTTTTTTTCACAGTAAACTCTTTTTAATGTGACGAAATTACATCTTGAACCTAGGAAGTTACGCCTTGATTTTTTTGTAACTATTTTTGATAGAATAAGCCGTTGACATTTTGGCTTCTTTCTTCAAATCTTAATGGTCCTTATTCCAAGGTAACTTCCATATAATTTTAGCTCCCTTGGATTTTAATAGCTTACTTTAAATTGAGAATACATCATACGTGCTCCAGATCGGTGGTACATTTAAAATTCACTCCCTATTTTTTTCCTTTTTACCCGACTGCGCACGAAAGCAGTGCGAAGCGCAACACGCAGAGACAGTTTTGTATATGTAAACTATAATAACTTGGGTTCCTAAGGTACCAACAGCATGTCATACTTATTGGGAGATAATAAAGAAGTTCACGTAGAAACCAGTTAAAATATTATAATATAAAATTAAATAATATATATTTTTATATTTAATTAAGTACAGATGCAAAGGATCTATTTTTTTCTTCTAAATATGTGGTTAATTTTGTACCTCAAGAATTATCATGCATTTAAAAAATACGTCAAATTTATCAAAAATATAAATGAAGTTATTTATCCACTTGAACTACATAAAAATACCGTTTAAACGTTAAAAATTAACACAGATTATATATTATTGTTAAATGTGCATATCAAATCAATAACAATTAGCTACGAAAATTACGTGATTTTTGATACAATCAAAGGAAATGAATTTAAACCAATAGTATTAGCTTGACTGACGTCTACGTCTATGGCTCTCGTCTAAGTAATGACGTTTCCTTATATGCAGATTCTCGATTTTACCTCAGATTTTCAGCAATTTATATTAAAATTCAGATTTTAGTGAGTGATTCTTTTTAAGTATAATTTATGGTGTTTTTTGAGATAATTTGTACCAATATACAAAATTGGGTAAAAATCGAAGGTCTCCATAAGGAAAAGATTATTGCAATGACGAGTTTATTCTACCCCGTTTGAATTATCAATGCTTTTTAAAGTCAGTCAACGTTTTCGATTAAATTGAATTGAATGTGTGCCGTTCATAAAATATCTATATGAGCTGAGGGTTTAAGCACACTCAAGCGTACAGTTAAATGGACCGAGTGTAAATAAAATATAAGCATTCCATACAGAAGCGCAGCAGGCGTCTATCTGAACATGAAGGGGATAATTTCAATAAGAGGCGGTCGGGGGCAAACGAATAGATTTGAAGATATGACTAAATAAATCATTATAAAGAAATTATGTTACGTTGCTTTATATAAATTCGTGCTGCTGAGTGCTACTATTCTTTTTCAAAACAATTGCTCTCTATCTGCTTTTTGCATTGACTCTTATTAATTACAAAGGTTTCACAAATCAGCATATTATCTACCATACTTGTGGTGTAATATTTTTTTAATTTCATCATATATAAATTATTTTAGGGTTAAGATTCCAAATAAACATTTAATTTTATGTTCATAAACACAAATGACCTTAACTAACGTATTACATTTATTAATAGCTATTCTATTTTTTATATTGCTGCTGTTTCGGCTGCACAGTCGGTCTTTTAACAGACTTTAAAAAAAGGATATTCTGTCTGTCCGTTTGACATGTATGTATGTGTGTCCATGATAATCTCAAAGCTACGGATCCGAATTGGATGGGGTTTTCTGCATATAAATGCATATTTATATGAGAAGGTTTTAGTATATAATTTTCTAGCAATGTCCCGTGGTTTCACCCGTGTGGATCTACGCGTGCACAATTTCCAACTAGTAGCGTATTCTATATGTCACTAAAAATGGTAAAATGATAAAAATAAGATTTACCACCTGATATGCTTGAAGTCGATACCAAGACATGTATTTAGCATAGAGATCATGATAATAATAACGATCGACTATTAAAATCGGTTCTATTTTTTTATTATAAGTTAGTTAGCATTTATTAATAATATTTTCGCAATTTTAATTCAACCCCGCCGGAAGTACTTATCGAGGCACGTAACTCGAGTGATAGGCTGTTGCCACCAGTTGATTTATAAACATATAGGAACTTGACTACATTTCTAAAGAGACGTTCTGATGAATATATTGGCCGAAAGTCAAAAGTATTGTCACCAACCGATTTTGAAATGTTTTTGAAGGTAGCTCCGGAATGTCAGAATACTTGGCAACAAAGGTTAGTTAAACTTTATAACAGCAATAATACAAGTTTGTTTTTTCCTCGCGATTGTGTTGAAAAACGTCATATTCAGCTCGTGTGCATTACATACTCAGCTTCCTTACTGAGTTACAATAATGTCTCGTATATAGTGACCAACTTATCACACTTGAATCACTGTAATAATGTATAAGTAAATATTACATGTAAATAAAAAGAAAATGAGGCCTAATCATTTTTCTGAAGAAGAAACCTAAGCCTAATCGTATAAGTACACAGAAATATTGATATATTCGCTTTTAATTAACTGCATCTTCTTTAAGTATTTTATGAGTTACAATATTTTCCCTATTACTCGGGTAGCAGTTTAGCAGCTGGTTACACGATTTATGACATTCGATAGCATCCTTGCAAATTGATATACACACACTACAATAATGAGTTGCCGTATTTACGGAGCTGTTGTTTTTTGACAGCGCGGTATCTAGTCAAGTGAAGCGAGACCAATCGTTCATCTATGCATTAACCTATATTAAATTCAGGAACTACTCTGTTTGTTGATATACTTTTGAGCGTCATCAGTGCAGAAAAATTAACTCGAGTTTGATTTTTAAATCTCTCTCGCTCTTAGCACGGTATTTGATTGGGATGTTTAGAGCTCAGTAACCAAACTCAATATTGGCACCATTATCGGATATCCGAAATATTCCTCCTCGATAGTTCAATGATCTCTGATATGTGTCAGCACTCATTAGAGTATTTGAATGAATGCATTAAATACTCAACACATTTAGTCACTTTTAAATTAATGCAGTAACATGGCTGGTATTGTGCGCCACGATATTTAGAATGTCCAAACATAATAGGCGGCAACGTTCTTCTGTAATGAATGTCGGTGCGTGACCATCGCGTTATGTGTAGCGTTACGGTTTTGTATTTTTTTTCACTGCAGCTGGAAAGTTATTTATGTCTTAATTTCGTTCGTAAAATATGTGCCGGAAACAGAGAGCCTTGATGACGTGCTATCCGCCAGTGACGAATGTGCCATTAGACCTCAATCCGCTTTTGGAGTCAGAAATGACTCATTTTGTAGGGCCTTATTGTACATTCAGAATGCATTAAGCGAAGAGGCAAGAGGCTTCGGTATAAAATTGTTTACATTTTCTTATTGTTGCTGTAACATTAAATAAAAAACAAAACAATATTTAGATGCATTAGGCGTGGATATGTTGGCACAGCTAATCTTCAATTCGATAATGAGTTTATGCACACGCAATGTGTAACGTCTTGTCTGATGTCTTGTCTGCATCAACCTGCATCATAGTTGCCTCAAATAAGGCAGAAATCTACCAGGAAACTATTTACTGTACCTACTTTGATAACTAATGTTTTACAAAGTCGTATCATGGATAAGACAAGTAAGTACGTACCTTCCCTATGCGTTTTAGAAAAATATATCAAATATAATAAATAATTTAAAGAACTGTATTTAACGGAAATTATGTACAATGAAAATTTTGGCAGATTTAATTATGGCTCAAGGGTCTGTTTTAATAAAATAAATTAACAATTCATTTATGGGATTTTTGTTATAATTATGAAAATACTTATAATGCGATTCAAATAAGAATAGGAAAGCCAATGACCTCTATCTGTCAAATGCCGCTTGAAAAGTACAGTTTGCAAAAAAAAACTTGGAACCCTTTTTTAGCACTCCGCTAATTCAAGAATAAAAACCAAACATTTGTAAGCAAACAATAACAAATATTATATTTGTTTCTTAGGTTTTCACGCACATCACTCATTAAATAAAACTAGTTTTTACGGGTTAATGCACGAAACTTTATTTATTTATTGACGTTTCGCAGCCTTTTCAGGTCTGCATCGTCAGAATAATGATTTTATTTAAAATTGTCGAGCTACCTTCGAAAGAATTATATTGTGCGTTCGGTTATTTCATTGGAAGATTTTTAAAATTTTATTGTCTATGTATGAATTTATTATTTAATTTACTTAATAAAGTATTTTATTTAAAATTCTTGTTTGTAATTTTGAGTTTATTTATTTGACCCTAACTACCGTAAACTACCACCACAATCATTATTCTGACGATGCAGACCTGAAAAGGCTGCGAAACGTCAATAAATAAATAAAGTTTCGTGCATTAACCCGTAAAAACTAGTTTTATTTAATAACAAATATTGTTAATTAATATAGGTTGTTTTTTTTTCACTTATTGAGCTTTGGCCATGAATGGATAATACCTAAATCGTCAACCAAATGTCACTTTAAGTTGCGTTCAGAAACTCGATTTCAAACTTTCGTTTACATAAAGGATGCATGTTTGTATGTGACCTAGTAATAGTGCATGATTATTATTCATAACTAATCCGGCGGTAATGCAGAGATGAGCGGAAAAGAATAGCTAGATTCTGATTAATGTTTTTTCTCACAGTCTTAATAAATAAATATTATTAAAAATCGGTGGTTTTTTTTCTCAATCTTAGTAAATAAATGTTATTAAAAAATCTGATGCTTTTGCTCACTTAATATTAATAAATAAGTTGTATGAAATAAAAACTTTTTTTTGCTCACTCTACCTATTTAGTTTGAATTGACAGCTATGACATCACAATATGGCGCCCAGTCGGTCCTATTCTTAGTTGAACCGCATTATACACTATAAATTTTCTGTTAGTCTCGTCAAACGGACTCAAAATAGATTCCAATATCATACTATCTAACAAAATTCAAATGTCAACTGAAGTTTAAGTACTTACTTTTAATATTTTTTTGTAAGTGATCTACTTGATTTGATTTATCTTAGTAGTAACATAGCATACTGTTATGCTATGTTACTGCTAACAATCCTTTTTTGTATCGTAATTACAATGCGATAAAAACTTTACGTATATCATCGCTAGATTTCAGATAATTAGTTTAAATGAATATGTACTTTTTAATTAAAGATTTGCTTCGTTCCTAATTAGTTAAATTATTAAGTAATTCACTAAAAAAATGTAGAAAAACATGTTTTTGTTAGACAAATATACAAGTTTTGTTCATGCCCTCTTAGATCAGATCGTGTCTAAACTATAATTTTGCTTATGTGGGAAAAGTTAATTCTCATGTCTGCCCGTTGTCTAACCAAAGTTCTTCAAATTATTTTAAATGTACCACCTGATTTTAAATGTACCTAAGTGGAGGCTAGTTGCAAAACATCTGAGGCAGAAGTTATCCTGGATCGCATTGTTGGTCTGAACCCAATACCCTACCGTGTGAAGCCCTCACTAACAGAAACACAACATCAAGTCTTGTGAAAGGTAAACATTAGTTCCCCGGGGACTTAAAAAGACGATTACAATCAAATGTTTGGGTATGAAATAATAAAAAGTTGTCTACCTTTCCGTTTTCCTTCTGAAAGTCGCAGCCTCTGTTGTTATATGGCGAGTGGTCGAACATGAGTTGTAGGTTTGTGCCGGTAGCGGTGAAGGCGATTTCTGTGTGACCCTCCCGGCAGCCGCTCGTGAATCTCATCTGCCGCTCCTCCGGGGGCCTGTCACGGTACCCGGTGTATCGTACCTGTTGATAAATATCCTTTGTTATAGCAGATTAACGACTCATGTTACATTTCAATGATTTGTGGATAGCGGCATACTTCTTGAGCAAAGCCAGAGGCAAATAAACTTACGCACTAGACGTTTTTGTATGTGAACTTGTTAATGCCCTGGCTTTCTTGTCTATGATCGTTGCTCAACAAGTTTGCCGGAGTGTATACAAATCTCATATTGCTTTAAACTTTCATGGCTATTACATTAAAATAATTGATGTTATTATTAACGGGATTGCTACCATGTATCTTGGTGTTTGCGAGTCCCCGATATTACATTCTTCCAATCTTGCACGAAGCTAATTTTTTTATCAAATTAGCTCAGCAAATTATTCTAACTCATCTAAGCAGCTCATCGACTCAGGTTAACCTTACTGTCTCACTTATAATCTAGTTAAATGCTTTATATTTTTATGGAAGGATTAGAAAATTATCGTTCATCCCACCAACAGAACTGAAGTTCATTACCGCAGAAGTCATTTATACTTTTCCACTCTGATACCATGACCTCTTGGAGTTCTGACAACATGACTTTAATAACACAAGCCTAACAAATAGTGTTATTTGATCGGTAGTTTAAAGGAGGAGGCTACCTCCCCCCACGACAACGGCTAACTAAAGCCGAGGTACGAGTCCCACAGACGCCCTCTAGTTAAGCAGACTCCCTCAGGTTCGAGTGGTCTAGAGGCTCCAGACGGAGAGGAGACTCCTTCCGCGGGGAGATGCCATCCGCCCGGAATACCTCTAGAGGCACTCGCCATTTCTCGGCTTGAGGTCCCCTTAGGATCTCGCCGTCCCCAAACTCGGTGACGTCGTAAAGGTCATCTGCGACCAACAGCATAACACTAAAAAAAATGTGCGTTCCAATAGGAGCGGCAGACCGGAAATTCTACTGTTATGACTTTACGTTTAATAACCATGGGTGCTTTTTTTAGGACCGTATCGGAATAGAATTGAATTAAGTATGTTGTTAAGTTAATATCAATGTTACGGGGTGTTCGTAACTCTAACATCTAACTACTAATATTTTGTTTTTCTATATGTAATGCTATACGTAAGTAATCATGCTTATTAAAATAGGATTTGACAAGCTTCTAAGTTTTACTTTTGTCAATGACGTAATATTTCGCAAACTTTGAATTGTAAATATGAACATAATTTATTGCTTTACTTAATGTAAATCTCTCCCTAGAATCTATGCAAGAACACAAATAAACAGTATTCAACGAAACATTGGCTGGTATTTCCTTGAAAATGTGACTCACATGATGTTGTGTAACTGTGTTTGTATAAATAAATATAGGACCACAGTAATCGCGGTCGAAGCCTTTTGCGAGTTGAATTATTCTGTTATTTTGAATTGAACATAATTTAAATATGGAACAATCCCATCATTGCATTGTTGCTACGCACTTTTAGTACTTAGGTAAATCAAGCTTATAATGAGCCTAATGCTTATGTCAATTATAACACTATTTCCGTATTATCAAAATATTCGCACTTCGTTTTATAAATTTATCGAGTTGTAAATAGTTTTTGGTAAGAAAAAGCTATTAAATGTATTAAGATAATAGTGGGTACCTAATCTCCTACAATTAAGGACTATGCGTACGCAACATAGTAATTTACCTAACTACCTACTGATTTTAATAATGTACCTAGCAGTCTTGCAATATTAGTTTCTAAGTAAATTAAAATATTTGGAGATTTTTTAATTACTACTACTATTAAGAGTGTAGATAGTTCTGCTTAATACTATACATGTGAAGTATGTATGTTTATTACTCGATCACGCAAAAACGACTGAACGGATTTGGATGGATTTCATGCTCATGACCGACAACTTATTATTTGGAAAGAGACCTACGATACTTTCCATCCCGGAAAAGTGTAAGGTTCCTGAGGGATTTACAAAAAAAACAAAGTTAACCCCGACGAAGTCGCGGGCGGTCGCTAGTATATATATAGTTATAAGGAATTATTATATTATTGCATGAATTTAACGTATTTAACTTCAAATTGCATATAAGTAAGTACATACTTATTAAGTATAGATTATACCTACTTTTTAGCTGTAAATGAGCAAGTGCTTAAGTCATTAATAGTTACTAGTGCTCATTCTACCTATTTTATAAAAAAACAAATTTAATAAAAGCTTATAAAAAATCATCTGTATTAAGTTTTAGGTAAGTAACTTAACATAGTTATAAGTAGGTAGATAATTTCTTTAATATTATTATTGACTCATTTATGGACATTTAATAAGGCAACAATAATTAGATTCATTTTCCTCATCATGATTAATAGGTGTTATTAAAGGAAGGTTTGGCATTGTTGCCACTGTAATTCTACAGTTATTACCTACTCAGAAATATGAGTACATAATGATAATTTATTCATTATAAGGATTGGAAATTATATTCAAAAAAAACGTAATCACCTCACTTTCTCTGCTCAGTCTTTTGAAGAGATCATCTGATTCAAATTTGCCTTTTTGGTCAGGAACTACGCGGGGCATCTTAAATATAAACCTCGGTTTCGGCTGCTCGTACAGTCCAATAGAGTCAAAAGGAAGCATGCCAGCTAACGCTGCAGGATCACTCATCGCGTGCATAACATGAAGTCCTTGGTCACTTTGGGGTAAAGCCTAACATCACAATCTGGACACACAACGAGTTGACTTAGCGTCACCAATGATTCAGATTGGTCCTGAGTTTCGAAATCGATTTAACAACGTCGTGTGTACGACATCTAATCACGGCGGCATTCAGTTACTGAATGAGCGACGGGGCAGCCGTGGACCGAGCGAATTTCCACAGGGGCGGGGCCAGCAATAGTGGGGGTTCGTTGCACCAATGGTAATCGCCGTCGGCGCCGCCTGACGCCTTCCTCGCACGCTTTCGGGAGCTTTCAACCGAAAAGAGGGGGTTTTCCCCCTTGACACGTTTCAAAATAAATACTGTAAATGACAAAGCACATGAATTTATAATGATGGGTATTATAGTCTCGATATTTCGAGTGTTTTATATACTTATATCTGGCTTTTTGTTCCTTTGTTGCCAGATGAATGCATGTTACATAGAGCAGTAAGCATTAAAAGGGGAACGGGATCCTGAGATCCGATAAAACTATTGAAATGTGATATTTTTGTCAGCCATGAAAGTGGCATTTATTGGCTATCTAAATAAAAATGAAACATGAAGAATAAAATGTTCAAAAGGGGTCTTTTTTCAATAAGCCCTGCTGTACACCTAAAGGCAAATGTCGCTGCTCGTTCAACGTGTTAACAGTTTGCACCAAAATTTTCTACCCGCCTCAACTTTTTGAGTCAAAAAATTAAATTTAAGTTAAATAGCATATAAAAAGTTTCCAAGAAGAACAGGATAAGAGCAAGTCCACCAAACGAGTCTATAAAGTATTCATATACATGAAAGTGTCGTTATAACTTACGTCTAAATAAGAATAGGATATATTTTTTTTTCCGTATTGTTTTCTTACAGCTGTGGTAAGTAGTTTTGATAACCCGACCACAAACACACCCACATTTAAATTTTATATTTAATATCGTAGAACAGTCATGGTAATATATACACCTGTAGATCTGAAACTTAGGTACTACATAGTCGACTACCTGACTGACCAACAACTTACCTATTATCTATAGGACAAATAGAACGAAATGATTACAATCATAAACCTCCCAATTTCTGAAACAATTAAATAAATTGTTAAAATGAAACACAATCTGTAAATGTATTTTTTCTACGTTCGAAGGTTTTTCGTTTATTTTCGACATAGCAATCAATTTTGCTCAATGATACGGAACCCTTCGAGTGCGACCCGAACTTGCCCGTTCGTTTTAGCATATACCCTTCCCCACTTGATGTTCAATAAAGGTTTTGGCTGAAAATGATTTAATATGTTGGCTGAAAATGATTTAATATGTTGGCTGAAAATGACGACCTCCGTGGCCGAGTGGTTTGTACGCCGGGTTTCATGGCTGTCGCCGACTCGAGAGGTCCCGGGTTCGAATCCCGGTGGGGGCAGATGTTTGTGTGATGAATACGAGCATTTGTACTCCAGTCATGGATGTTTAATATGTATTTATATAAATATACTTATATATGTACAGTATATGTATTCTATCCGTTACCCTAGCATCCCATAACACAAGCCTTATAGTGCTTACTTTGGGGCTAGGCTAATTGGTGTGTGTTAAAAAAAAAAAAAGTCAAGGTAAACTTTATAAAACCGGCCAAGTTTTTTTTTTTTATTTTATTTTTATAGATAGGTCCGACAAATGACTCCACCCCACCTGATGTTAAGTGAAGGTGAAGTCCAGACGTGACGATAGCTGATACAGCAGTTTTACCTGCCACACCAGCCATCTTCACCCTGCCGGCCTGCATGTTGCTTCTTCACGCCTCTTTTAAAGGATCCCAGGTTGTAAGAGGCAGGGAACACGTGAGCGGGCAGAGCATTCCATTTACGGATAGCGCGACAAAGAAATGAGTCACCAAATTTCTTTGTACGCGTTGGAATTGTGGCCACAGTTAGACGATGACAACGTAGGCCAGCGCGCGTGGTCCTCTGAAGGAAAGGAGAAGGTGGGATAAGAGAGAATAACTCCTCAGAACACTCGCCGTGGTACAGACGATAGAACGCGCTTAGTGACGCCACGTCACGGCGTAATTGAAGAGGCTCAAGGTGTTTAGTCACTTCCTCATCGCCTATGATGCGGATCGCGCGTCGCTGTAACCTATCCAAAGCATCGAGCAAGTACTTGGCGGAGCCATCCCAGAGGTGCGAGCAATATTCCACGCAGGACCGCACTTGCGTTTTGTACAACAAGCACAGTTGATCGGGCGTGAAAAAACGCCGCACCTTGTTCAGGACTCCGAGTTTGCGTGAAGCTGTTTTGATCACGGTTTCGATGTAGTTCTTTGGATTCAGGTCTGAGCGAACTTCCATACCGAGCATGGAAATGTTGCTCTGCAGCGGTAGTGTTGTGCCCTGAAGAGATGGAAGGGGAAGGAATGACGATGTTTTTGCCGTGAAAGCGCAAGCCTGAGTTTTTTTGGCATTGAACTCAACCAAGTTCCTGGTACCCCATTCGGAAATGTGGTCCAAAGCCTGATTGAGTTCAATGACAAGATTCTCGCGTTTCTCCTTGGTTACCGCCAGCCCAGCCGCTGCTTGTCCGAGATACCCCGCATGCACTGTACTATCGTCTGCATAGCAATGAATATTCCCAAGAGGAATTAAGTCATTGATATGCAGCAGAAAGAGAGTGGGGGATAGGACGGAGCCCTGGGGAACGCCGGCATTCACTGACATGAACCGCGAACTGCTACCATCCGTAAGGACACGAATTCTACGCTCATGCAGGAAGTCAGCTACCCAAGAACAGAACTGGGCTGGCAGACCGTATGCCGGAAGCTTGGAGAGTAGGCTTTTGTGCCAGACCCTGTCGAACGCCTTGGCAATGTCAAGGCTGATAGCCAACGACTCGCCACGCTTGTCGATAGCCTCACCCCAGATATGAGTTAAGTACGCTAGAAGATCACCCGTCGATCGTTTCGGTCTAAAACCATATTGACGATCATTAATCAAGGAGTGATCCTCTAGGTAGCGGGTCAGATGGTTATTAAGGACCTTTTCTAAAACTTTACATAAAAACGTACAAAAAAAGTACGGGACTCGCACACGAAAGGTAATGAAATACAGTGACCGCCCAAAAACGCTAAACTTTTTTGTTCCTACCTGTTTTCAATGTCTGACAACATATCGTAGAAAACGGCAATAGCTATACACAATCAGTAAAAATATCAACTGTTTGAATGAATAATCACCGACCACCTTTCATGGGTTACATCCGCTGAAATAACGATGGACAGAAGATGCTAGTAAATTCTATTCTCTCTTTTTTGTTTCTTAAAATTTTGATGCCGTAAAGCATAATCATACTGACGGATTGCGAGCATTCTCAGGGCGAAGCGGGCGGGTACCGAACACGTGACGGTCGCGCAACGTTTTCTCCGCGAATAGCACCGTGGACGCCATTGTGTATAGTCTCATCCGCAAGCATTTACAATCCTTACTTCAGGAGACACCGATAGTACCTAATAAGTGTGTATTTTTATATGTAGTATTACTAGTTTGAATCAAGCGGTAACTTGAACTCATAAAATGTAGGTCGTTGCCATTTGTAGGTAGGAACAAAATTGTTTTGGATGTTTTTGCAAACCTGGTCAATATTTTGCAATAACAGATCCTCCCAAAATCGCCGATGTTTTCGTGTACGTTTTTTGCATCTTATCTTATAAAGCTAACAGCAGTTTTCCCCCCTCAGAATCCATTATGTTACTGAGTGTACGCGCATAGGTAACGGAAACGTTCCGTCTACGCGACGGCTTCGCTGCGCGTCCGCGACGCGTTCGCTGCGCACTCGCTCTGCTTGGAAAACGCAATCCATCAGTGTGATAACTAAAGTAGGCAAAGGATTTCACTTTACTTAATGTTATGTGATAGCCGCCGTAGCAGTAACAGTAGTTTTTGGTTTTGTAAGAAGGAGGGAACGTAATTGCAAATATAGTACAACAAAGAAATGAGTCTTTAAACTTTGTTTGCGTTGGAATCGTGATTCTAGTTAGCTGGTAACAACATATAATAGCGTCGCACGCGTGGTCTGAAAGAAAGAATAGGTGGTTTAAGAGAGAATAACAAAACACTCGCCGCGGTATATATAATAGAAAGCACTCGTAATTTTTTTGAGGTTGTTAGTCACCCACGTCGAAAATCATGTGGGAGACGCGGCACCGCTCCTATTTAAAGCCTCTAGCTAGTACTTTGCAGGCACATCCTAGAAGTGCATCACAGTGAAAAAAGTAATTTACAAAACTAGTTGAGTTAATCGATGAATAGCCAAACTTTTTTACTAATATATAAATTTCAGTCACTCATAGACCAATTGTTCTGTTGCATTTTACATTATCATTTCAGTTAATCGAGTTTACTTAAAAGCTACTAAGCCATTTTGTTTGAAGCTGTCAAATTCGATTGCGGTAATCTGTACCATAACAATGTATTGTTATAATCAAACACAATTGAGGTGATTATTTACAAAGAGTTGGCCTAACTACAACTATTTTGTCCTATTTATTAGCAAGCACAAAAACTGCTATGAATAACTGAAAAGTAATGGAACTTTTAGCCAAAATGTTCAGTTACAGATTGCTAGTACGTGTTTTGTTAACTAATCGGTACATCCGCTGAATCGCGCTGTGTCGCCAGGGTTTTAAGATTATACCGATTCCCTGTTATCCCCCAGTACTTACTTGTAAGTAAGTAGTACGCACAAGTAAGATAATAATATAGTGCTATAATTCATCAGAAAATTATGTTGCAGAAAACAAAATAGTTCGGTTACAAATAACAGTATAGCGAAATTATACTGAAGCAATAATATTGTAACTAATTACTGAAAAATGTAAGAGTTAACAAAACAGTTTTGTAAATTTTACATAACTGTTTTGTTATAACAACAAATCTATTTTAACAAAACTGAGTTTGTATACTATTAAATATAGTAATGTATGTAAGTATTTCAAAACC